AGGAAGGCCTTCACAGCAGGAGTGAGATGCCTGCAGCTGCAGTCTCCTTGTAGTTAATTGGGGTGGCAGACAAGGTGCCTAAGCTTCAGACAACTCACAAATAAACGCGGAAAGCCAATTGGTTAATATTAAATCCTGCTCAGAGCTGCTTTATAGTGGTCCCCAACATCTACTCGTTGAAATTCAGTAAACTCAGTGTTACCTAAATTCAGTATGCTGGTGGGCATTTGCTGGGTCCTATGCCTATAGATCCTCCTATTTCCTGCTAGATATGAAGAATCTACTGTGTGTCATTAGAGGGATGGGACCCGGCAATGGTCAGGTGCCCCTGGGTGCCCCGGAGCTAAGAGATGACATCATGAAGCCAAGGGTGTTTTTTTCTCTGAGCATATTATTCATTTAAAAAGCAGCATAAATAAATTACATAGTCTACAAGTTAAATACTATACAATTTAAAAATCAGAAAATACATAGCCAGATCAGAAGAAATATTAAACGCAAATTAAGTGTGGAAGTCTCTTGCTATCTCAGTGTTACCAGTAATTATCTCTTTTAACTATGTTTTCCTCTTCCTTAAGGAGGGACCCATTACTTCTCTCCAGGAAATGCTTTCTGCACTGCAAGTCCCAGGGGCTTGCCTGACCACAGGCTTTCAGAATATGAAGCCCTTGACATTTGGGTATTTGAAAACTCCTTTGTGGTACTTTCCAGTTTCTTGTTTGCTAACTTTTGCTGCTTTATTAACAGTTCCCCTCCTCTACGCTGGCCTCTTCTCACCAGAGGTGACCACAATGAGTGTAATATCAGTAATTTTATGTTGGGATCATAAATGTAATTTTATATTCGTTGTTAATATTTCAATATGCGATTTAACCTTGGAAGCTCTTTAATAAAAAAATTGCAGTCCTTTCATGATATTTCAGCATATGGATATCATATCTCTCTCCCTACTTCAGGGATCAAATCATTATTTGACTGGTACAACCTGACCTTCTGTTGTGATCTCAGATAATGATACCTTGATCTGTTCTAAATTACTGGCACCCTGTGGGAGTTTCTACCAATAAACCAGAGCTATTTCCTCTTAGCAGTAAGGAGAGCATTTGGGGAGGGACGATTTGCTCCCCAGATCAAGTGGATTTCTTACATTAGCTCTCATTTTACAATTGCATAGGACTTTCACTTATTATTTATCATGTATTTAAGTTATTTTTAGTGATTAGTTATATTTTAGCTATATGGTGTACTACTTTTTTAAAAATAACATTTGTTGATAGCTTTTATTCTTGAGTGTCACTTCTTCTTGTGATGTGGAAGCTGAACACTGAGTTAGCATTTATGAAAACAGTTATGTAAGCAACTCCTGCTCCTCCTTAAAGAAGGAGTGTAGTCAGAATCTTCCCAGAAGAACCTGGGCAGACTTTATTCCGAGACAGGCTTCCCTGCAAGGTGATGAAAGTGATTCACGTGGAGATGGGACTGATGCTGTCCCTGGCCACTCAGGCCACTTCCTCCTTGGCGGGGTAAACCCCTTAGAAAGATATGCTTTTAGTTTAAGATGAACAAGGGGGAACGTTCTGTGCAAAAGTGTCTCTCCCAAGAGCTCCTCTTAGCCTAAATATAATTGTTACCAGGCATTTGTAATCTAGGAAAAACTGACCTCACTTGCTAAAAATGTGCTGAAAGAACAGGACAAAGATGCATGATCTGTTCTCCATGGTGATCCATTTACTTGCATCTGGGATTCAGGCACAAATGGATTAATCCAACCACTGTTGGTGGGCTTCACTTGAATTTAGTATCTTAACTCTCTTGAAAGTGGCCAGTGTGCCGTTAAGACAGAGGATCTGAAAATGGTCAAGACTAACAGATTTCCTGTGTAGAGGAATTTTTATTTTCAGTAGTACGTGTTTGCAGTACATAATGACTACCTTCATGGTGGGGAGTTGGTACAGGTGTATAACACATCTCACTTTTTCTTCATCCCCTGCTTAAGTTTTAAAAAAGATCTGTTTTTCTTCCATATGAGCATTTACCACATACAGACTCTTTGGTATGTTGTAGAAGAAGAGCCACATTCTTCTGTAGCTTTGCGTCTCACAGGCACTTTTTCACAGGGAGAGAAAGTTCTCTAGCTTCATCCAGAGGAAGTTATTAGATCTGATGCACAAAGTTTCTAGGATTCCAGTGCCCTTGTATGATTTTGGAAGCAAAGCCCTGGGATGATGAGATATTTGGTATCTGCTTTTGTCGTGCATGCTCAGATGGTGAACATTACGAAGTAAATACCTGCATCAGGTATTTAGACCACAGGTATGCAGAGTCACCTGCTGAGCCAGACTGGCTCTCAGGCCGGGAAGATTTGTTGGTAGCCTATTGGCCTATGAACTGTGGCAGTGTTCTAGACCAGAGGGCTTAGCCCTGATGAAATGTAGGAGTTGCAGAATCACGGAGCAAAAGTTGGCCGAGTTGGCCTCTGTGAATTTTTCACAGTGTAATAGTAAGTGACATTGTGGTGACCACCTTGGTCCTGTGGGCACTGTAGTTCTCTTCTGCCGCCCCCCAGATCTGGCATAGAAATAGAACGAGGGGTCTGTTGCCTCTGACGTTAAACGAAATGGGATTATGAATACTTGATGTCTCCCAATTCACGTGCATTCTTTGCTTTTTTTTGCAGCGGGGACAGAGCCTATATAGTTCAAGTCGGCCTTGAACTCACAGCTGGGATTATACATGCGTGCCATCGTACCTGGCTTCAAATGCATTCTTGTTCACAGCTCCACAGAGTAAAAACACCATAGTGCAATCTATCCGGATCTCCCATTTTAGATGACACTGCATGTGCTCGCTTTGGCAGCACATGTGCTAAATGACCCTACTACTGTCATTAATTTTATTTGAGGACTTTATTGTCTGCCTTTACTTCACTCATGCACTTTTTTTTTTTTTTTTTTAAACAAGGTCTTCTTGTATAGTTCAGACTGGCATTGAACTCACTATGTTGACAAGGCTGTCTTTGAGCTCATAACGACCCTCCAGCCTCAGCCTCTCAAGTATTCAGTGATCCTCCTGCCTCAAGACACAGGCATGTGCCACCATGCCCAGCTTCACTCATCCACTTTCTTAGAATAGCTCAGAAAAACTAGGCGTGGTGGTGAATACTTGTAAATCCAGCATTCAGAAGGCTGAGACAGGAGGCTTGAGTGAGTTCTAGGCCAGTGTGGGCTGCATAGTGAGTTCAAGGCCAGACTGAACTGCATGGCAAGATCTTGTCTCAAAAAAAAGAAAAAAAGAATAGTTCAGAAATTGTACAAAAGAGATTAGTTTTGAGTTTTGATAGAATTCTAGCAGGGCACCATGGCATATGCCTGTACTCAACTACTCAGGAAGCTGAGTCAGGAGGATCTCAAACTTGAGGCCAGTCTGGGCAACTTAGTGAGACATTATCTCAAAATAAAAAGGACTAGAGATATAATTCACTGGTATAGCACTCTTGGGTCTGATCCTCAGTACCACCATCAACAACAACAACAAAAAAAAACAAGAAAAAAATTTGATTCAGGGCCCTCCCCCCAGTATTTACATGATATGAAACTATTACGGTAAAAGTTTCCTGAAGAAATCATTCCATTTCCTGTGATGGTCGTTAAAAAGAAGAAAGAAAAGTAGCCTAGTAAGAACTAAAAGGAACATGAAAGTGTGTTACGGAACAGTGGGGGTCTGTGAGGTGGATTGTGATGCTTCATCCGCTCAGGTTTTCCTCTTCCTATTGGATTCAGTTCTCCAGCCTGTTCATTCCGTTGCAGTTGGCTTTTGTTTTTCTTGGGCTGGAAATTTATGTGGAGAAAATGCTGGAGAATGATTTGAGAGGAACCTTGAATCTCACCTAGGACAGCAGTTTTCAGACTTTTCCCCTAAAGCACGTCAGACAGTCTAGGACTGTGGTGATGAACTCGTGGCACATGTGCTGCAGCGGGCACGCAAGCCTGCTCCATTGGCACACAAGCCAAGTCGCTCCAGTATCACCCGGTAGCCCAGCATTAGATAGCAACGCACATCCCGGCCATGCGCATGCTTGTAAAGGAGTAGGGGCGTAATGTTAAGAGCCGTGACTCCTCCGAGCTTTCACATGGCTCCTTACTATTCAGATTTAATTCAGTGTTGGCATCTTGCAATAAATCAGTGGGTTTTGGGTCGCAGTTTGGGCATTTGATCTCTAAAAGGTTTGCCATTGCTGGTCTAAGAGATAAATTGGTAGCTGACTGCTCTGGAGTATTTCTCAAAGAGGGTTAGTGCAAACTTAAAACCTGTCTCAATTTTGGCTTAAAAAATCATGGATCAGGGCTGGGGATAGAGCTCAGCAGTGCAGTACCTGCCTGGGAAGCATAAGGTCTTGAGTTTGATCCCCAGTACAAAAAAAAACCAAAAACCTGAAAAAATCATGGATTAAAAAAAAAATCATGGATAATCTGAATCCTTATCCCTAATATGTGTGTGTGTGTGTGTGTGTGTGTGTATAAAAGCACTTTCTGTCCTTCTCTATCCTATTCTTAATGCTTAGAAACGTAGTGAATAAAAAGTAGTAAAAAGATGTCTGGTTCTAAGCCCATATTGTGTTACATGCCTGTAATTGTGGTGAGTTATAGGCCAGTCTGTACTACATAGTGAGACCCTGTCTCAAAAACAAAACCAAACAAAGATTTCTGGTTCCGATGGGTCACACTTCTAAAAACACAGAGTTGTAGACTACTTACATGAAGGTTGAATGAGGTAGTAGATGAAATCACTTGCAAAGCATAATGTGCTGTGTAAATGTGAGTTTTTGTTTTTAATTTTAGTGTTCTGTACAACTTCAATCCTGTCATAGTTGAGTCTTCTGCCTAGGTGAAATTTAATAGGGGGCAATATTAGCATGTAGCTCAGGAGGCTTCTTAGTTTAGACTTCCTCTGATGTGATCAAGATCAGGAACCGTAGTTAACCAACTATGCTCTAATTGCAGGCGGGAGCACTGGCAGCTGCTGGGCAATTTGAAGACCACTGTGGAGGGGTTGGTGTCAGCCAACAGCCCCAATGTCTGGTCCAAGTATGGTGGCCTGGAGCGGCTTTGCAGGGACATGCAGCGCATTCTCTACCATGGGCTCATCCATGACCAGGTATGCAGAACTCTTCCCTTTGCCTCATTGGTGGAATCACTTGCTGGGAGGAAACAGTAATGTTCAGCCGTAGGCAGAGAGAAGATGATGCTCACCAGTCTCTGAGCTCCTCGGGGGCAGCACTGAGACTTAGCCCAAAACTTTTTGTTTTGAGGTAGGATCTCGCTATATAGTTCAGGTTTGTCTTGAACTCCAAGTGATCCTCCGGCCTTAGCATCCCAAGCACTGGGATTGTAGGCGTGCGACACCACAGGGGTAGCTCATCTTTTTATTTTAAAGAGAAAAATACAAAAATAAAGAAAAACAAAACAACACAAAAACAATAAAAACAATACAGAATTTCAAAACAAGATGATAGGAAATTAACAATGGTTGTTGTATTATGTATTGTTGTCTTCAGAGCAGTTGCTCAGATTACCGGATATAGGTATGCAAGATTGATCAAACAATTAAACATTAACTGTTCCTTTCAATAAAGCAATACCAATTAGTAGTACAATTATCCTAGCTATCTTGTGTATGTATATATATTTTCTTTCTTTCTTTCTTTCTTTTTCTTTCTTTCTTTCTTTCTTTCTTTCTTTCTTTCTTTCTTTCTTTCTTTCTCCCTTTCTCCCTCCCTGTCTCTCTCTTTCTTTCTTTCTTTCTTTTCTCCTTTCCCTCATCCCAGTTGTTCTTTCCTTTTGAGCAGTTGCTTTCCAAAAAATTGAAATACTTAGGAATCGATCCATACAGTGAAAATTACAGTAGTCTGAAAAAAGAGATCAAAGAGGATTTTAGAAAACAGAAAGATATCCCTTGCTTATGGATAGGAAGAACCAACACCATGAAAATGGCTATACTCCCAAAATTGTTATACAGATTCAATGTAATCTCGATCAAAATACTATTAGGATACTTCACAGATCTAGAGAAAACATTCCTAAAATTCATCTGGAACCAGAAGACACCTAGAATAGCAAAGGCAATCCTGAGCAAGGATTGACAGCAAAGGCAAGACAGAAGGCATCACAATCCCTGACTTGAAATTATACTACAAAGCTACTGTGATTAAATCAGTTGGTATTGGCAAAAAACAGAGCCGAGGATCAATGGAACAGACTAGAAGATGCAGCCACAACCACAAACACACTCAGCCACCTTATGTTTGACAAAGGGGCCAAAAGATAGCCTCTTTAAAAAATTTAATAATAAAGATAGCTGGAAAAACTGGCTGTCCACATACCAAAGACTGAAACTAGACCCAAGTCTATCACCATGCACTAAACTAAAGTCAAAGTGGACCAAAGGTCTAAATATTAAAACAGAAACACTAACTCTACGGGAAGAGAAAGTAGGTAGTCATCCTTTTATTTTTAGTCCAGTGAAATCACTTAGTGCCTGATGTGCCTTAGATGTCAACAGAGTGACTCAATGCTGGGCAGGACAGCAAACCAGCAACAAGAAGTTAGCTCAGTTTGTTTCCTGGTGTAACAAATAACTGCAATCTTAATGGCTTTGAACAACACAAATGCGTGGTAGTTCTTAAGGTCAGAATTCTGAAATAATTTCACTAGGCTGAAAGCAAGGTGTCTGCAGGGCTGCACCCTGGAGGCGCTAGCTTCTGTTTCTTCCTTGCTCTTGAGCTTCTGGAGCTATCCTGTGGCTTTCTGTGGCTCTCAGCCCCTTCTGCTGTCTTCCAAACCAGGAGCATTCCATCTTTAAACCTCTCTCTGCTTCCGTATCACCTTCCCTCCTGGATCACTTCCTCTAGCAGGACCCCTGTACTTACATTGGTCCCACCAGAATAATCACCCCCCGCTCAAGATCCTTAATTTAATCATATTTGTAGAGTCCCTTACAGGCCATACACTGTACATAAAAGGTTACCTTCACAAGTTTTAGGAATTAGGATGTGGACATCTAGGAGGACCATTTTTTATCCAAACATAGTCAAGGTGTTTTTTTCGCCCCCTGAATATATTTTGGTTTAAAAACATGCCCGCCCCCCTACCAAATATAGGTAGAATAAAGGAAGAAAAAGAGTGAAAGCAAAAGTGTTTTCAGTCTGTCGTGGTTTGGGGTTTTTTGCAAGGGGAACAATATAATACAGGACACATATTTTATAAGATTATTTGTAATAGTCACCCAAAGAATCATATACAAGAGAGTGCAGGAAATCTGTCCACATACTATAGACCAAGAATCCAGCTGAGGGCCTGGATCCCGCGATAATGTCCTACATAAGTCCAGCTAAGGACCTAGAGCTCATAACAGTGCCTCCCACGAATCCAACTAGAGACCTAGAGCCCACGACAATGTCTCATGCAGGCCTGTTTCATGGATCTGCGCTGGGAAGGCCCAAAGGTCAGTGGTGGAATCTAGGAAGTCTGTGCCAGCAGGATGAAGGATCTGTGCTAGCAGGAGGAGGGATCTACACTGGAGCCAGGAAGCAGCACTCAAAATAAGAACCAGAGCTCCCTGAAAAATACCACAGCCATCCTTAGCAACAGTGAGGTCCCGAGCCCCTCTGAGGATCAGGAAAGCCGAGTTCCCATCAGGAAAGCCAATGCGACAAGCTTCTCCAGGAGACTGAGCTGTGCACCTTCTTCCCCTCCGGCGCGAGGAAGCGATGCTCAGAGTGAGGACCAGAGCTCCCCCAAAGTGAACCAAAGCCCTTCTCAGTGACAACAAGGTCCCGAACTCCTTGGACAATGGGAACAGCCGAGTTCATCAGGAAAGCCAGCATGACAAGCTCCTCCGAGAGAACCAGCAGCTCCTTGCAGCTTCTGTCAGCTTCCAACAGGTTCCCAACAGCTTCTACCAGCTCCCAACAGCCTTTCTCTGCTCCCAACTACCTTGCTTCTTTTTCTCCAGTTCTGCCTCTTGTGCTGCTGGCAGCAGTCCCCTGGTGGGCCTCCCACACCCAGCACCACGCTTACTCAGTTCAGCTGAGTGTTAGAAGTTGACCACCAGTTGTCAGTCCACCACACAGTCAGTGTCTTTTTTTTTTGGTCCTTTTCACTATGCATTCACTATGCAGCTCAGGCTGGCCTTGGACTTGCAGTGGTCCTCCTGCCTCAGTCTCCCAGTTGGGATTACAGATGTGGACCAACAATTTAAAGGTCCTATAATATGAATATAAAATCTATGTTTTTAGAGTTTTTGTTTGTGACTTCTAAAAGTTGTTTGCCTCCACAATTTTATGTCTTTATAGTGACTACTGTTATTGAAAAGGCTTTTCAATGTATACTACTTAGTGTTCATGAATATATCAGTTATTTCATCCATGTACATAATCATTACTTTAAATATGAAATTATAATAGGCACAAGTGCCAGAAGTAGGTCTGAGGACAAAAATGACTGATTTTTGGTAAGCTGCAACTTTACTGGTGGCAGTAAAAGTACATGGTTGGTTATTCTAGGGAATAGTCTATACCCAACTGGAGCGCTTCTTTCCTAGTCAGAAGAATTGGAAAGCCATCCACTCTTTGCTAATGTAAGGCATCATTTTTAATGCGTATGTAATATTACATGAATGTATGTACCCTAATGTATTTAATCAGTTCCTTTAGGACAAATGCTCAAGTTGTTTACATATTTTTTAATCTTTTATAAAAATGCTAAGCCAGATGTGGTGGCACATGCCTGTGATCGCAGCACTTGGGAGTCTGAGGGCAGGAGGATCACCATAAGTTTGAGGCCAAGCCAGGGCTACATAATGAATTCAAAGCCAGCCTGGACTACATAGCAAGACCCTGTCTCAAGGAAAAAAAAAAAAAAAAGCTAACGTTCCTACTGTTTTTCAGTTTTATATAGGAATTTTTCGTTAGTGCTGGGCCTTTTCAAACATAGGGCCTTATGTATGCTAGCAAAGTGTTCTGCCACTGAACTACATCTCCAGCCCTATAGAGAAATTTAAAATATATGCCTTTATCCGTTCCTCTTGAGATGATTCTATTGTTTTTGTCTCTCATTCTGATGTGATCTGTAATGTTAGTATTTAATTTGTGTATGTTGAACCGTCTTTCCTTCCCTGGGATAAATCTCACTCGATCAGTGTATATAATCTTTTGGATGTACAGTTGGGTTCAGTTTGCTAATATTTTTTTTTAATACCAGGAATCAAACTCAGGACCTTGCGGTTGCCAGGCAGCCACTTGTGCCACTGAACTATATCCCTGGCTTTTTTAAAAAAAATTTTAAAAATTTTTTTATCTTTTTGAGACAAGTCTCACTATGCAGTTCAGGCTGTCCTTGAGCTCACTTTGTAGCCCAGGCTGGTCTCGAGCTTGCAGTGATCCTCCTGCCTCAGCCTCCTGAGTGCTGGGGTTACAGGTCTGCAACACCACTCCCGGTTCAATTTGCTAATATTTTGTTGAGAATTTTTGCATCTGTATTCATCAGGGATACTATCTGTAGTTTCCTTTTTTTCGTATATTTCCTTACCTGTTTTTTTCACGAGGGTAATACTGGCCTCATAGAATGAATTTGGAAGCATTTTCTCCCCTTCAGTTCTTTGGAATCATCTGAGATGAACTGGTATTCTTTAAAGTTTTGGTAAAATTCAGCAGCAAAACTATCTGGTCCTAGACTTTCTTTGTTGGACACTTTGTGTGTGTGTGTGTGTGTGTGTGTGTGTGTGTGTGTGTGTGTTTGAGACAGGCTCTTGCTATGTGGTTCAGGCTGACCTTGAGCTCACTTAGTAGCCCAAGCTGGCCTCAAATTCGCAAGATCCTCTTACCTTAGCCTCCTGAGTGCTAGGATTACAGGCGTGAACCACCACACCCAAGTTCCTACCATTAATTTTGGATGCTGTTTATATTATCTACTGAGTTCTGGTTTATGTTGAGGCCTCTTTCTGGGATGTTTATTTTGTTCCTTTGATAGATTTGTCTCTTGATACTCGTGTTCAGTATTTTTAAGAATATTTAGATTTCAGTTTTAATTCCTGTTCAGTAATCTCAGGAAGGATTCTCAGAAAAACAACAATTAGGTTTTCATGAGTTACACATTTTATTTTCATATTTCTGCTTCTTCCCGTTGAAGGCCATTGTGAGGCCAAACATTTCTCTGACCTTGAACGCAACCCTTTCCCTTTCATGGTGTGGTTATCTTGAGAAAAACAACAGTGTCCTTGCTGCAATAAGGGTGTCTTACTCTGAAGACTCTGGTTTTTAATAAATAACTTTTCACCAGTTTTAAGAATTACCTTGTAGGAAATCGAGTGGTGGAGAGAAAGGAATAGAAAACAGATCATTCACTGTATACCTTCTATAACACTTGCATGTTCCAAAAAATGATTAACAGGGCTGGGGATATAGCTCAATGGCACAGCGCCTGCCTGGCAAGTACAAGGTCCTGAGTTCCATTCCTGGTACCAAAAAAAAAAGATTAATAGCAGGTGTCATGGCACAGGCATGTGATCCCAGCTACTTGGGAGGCTGAGGCAGGAAGAATGCAAGTTCCCAGTACACGTGGGCAATTTAAGGAGACTCGGTCTCAAAATAAATATTTTAAAAAGCATTAGGGTACAGCTCAGTGGCAGAGTACTTGCAAGGCCCTGGGTTCCAGCCCTAGTCCCACATAAAATATTTGAGAAAATCTTTAATAATTATTCTTTAAAGGGTGAACGTGTGTGTATGTCCTTTTGCTGCTGAGAGCTTGTGCTGAGGCAGGGAAGGTTCTGCCTTTTTCCTGCCTTTGGGTGTCAGCAGTCAGCTAGATTCCGTGGCCAGCCGCTCACCGTGCTTTCTGTTGCAGCTCTGTTGCCGGCAGGCAGATTACTGGCAGTTCGTGAAGGACATCCGCTGGCTCAGCCCCCACTCCGCCCTCCACGTGGAGAAGGTGCGCGAGGTGGGAGGGAAGCACGGGGGCTGGAGCAGGGGTCTTTGCTGCTCGAGGTTCTGTTGAGGGGGTGCATCCGGTTTCCTGTGGAAGGAAGGAAGGAAGTTACCTTCCTGAGGGCTGACCTGGAGCGAAGGGTTATTCCCTTAACTGTTGTTAAGAATCCTGAAGAGCCCCTGTTCCAGGTCACTTTCCCTTCTCTGGGGAACTGGTGAAAAGATCTGTGTGTAGGGCACCCGGATGGAGCTCTTGGAAGTCCAGACCCGTGGGAAAAGCTCCCTTCAGCAGTGACGTGCTGGGAACTGGTCTGGAAGAGGCACGGATGAGAAGGTCGTGTGCGGCTTTCCGGAGGCCAGGATCAGACAGAGCCGCTGTGTCCCTTACAGCTTTGGCTGCCATGGAAGCTCCCCACCATCCTGTTCCTCCTCAAGACGAGCCAGGAACAAGAGCTCGAGAAAGTTAGCTGAGTTGGCGAAATCTACACAGCTGGTTCCAGAACAATTACTGCCAATTTTACATTGAGGGAGAAATATCAAATTAACTCCGATTGTCTCTCACCCCTCTTAATTCCTTTTCTTGTTGTTTTTGGTTTTTTGAGACATGGTCTCACTATGTAGCCCAGGCTGGCCTTGAACTCGCAGCAGCCTCCCAAGTGCTGGGGTTACAGGCGTGTACCACCACCCTCTTCAGGTCTTGTCGCTATATGCCTAACCTTGTTTCACATATACCCCCAACTGCTAGAGTCATCGCTAAGGTAATGTCAGGAAAAGTAACATGTTTCCCCAGCATTCCGAAGGCTGAGGCAGGAGGATGACCGTGAGCTCAAGGCCAGTATGGGCTACATAGCAAGACCCTACCTCAAAAGACCAAACCAAAACAAAACAGTAACCTTTTTCTAAATGATCAGGAACCCAAGCCCCAGCAGTAGAGCCCATTATTTTCTATGTTCTTATCCCTTATATTCTTCGCAATAGCCCTCCCTCCAACGTCTTTCCCTATGATACATTGCTGTAGCCATTTCCTCTTTGAAGCTGCCTGAAGTCACCCTTCATGTGTTCATGGCATTGATCCTGGCCTCTGAGACCTTGCTCTCAGAACACTCAGGAGGGAGAGGCTCCAACAGAAGGCTGTGGCTAGGGTCAAACAGCGTTGCTCCATGGCTTGGGAGGGGAGTCTTTGGTACATTTTTCCTAGATGATTCCTGCCCGCTCCTCCCCGTTTTTGTTGAATTCCCTCCTGGAGGCCCCTGAATGGAGGAGTCTGTGAGAAAAGCCCAGAGGCCAAGCTCATCCTTCCTCTGAGTGTTCCAGAACAGGTGCCAGACAAGGCAGTTTGTCTTTCCTGGAGTTGCTTGTCAGTGAATTGCTTAACTGTTCACTGTGAAGCTTTTAGTCTCTTTCTTCATTCTCCAACTTCAGCCTCCCCCTTTTTGAGACAAAGCCTCGCTATGTAGCCCAGGCTGGCCTCTAACTCAGCAGTCCTTTGTCTCAGCCACCTGAGTGCCGGGAGTCCACACGTGGACCGCCACGCCTGGCAGGACAATACGCTGCCTGTCTCCCCTTCCCTGTCCTGTGGGCCCAGGGGTCGCTGGGCTTCCGTGTTCTGACCGCGCCTCTTTGCTTCCCAGTTCATCAACTTGCATGAGAACAGCCAGAGCGACGCTGCTGGTGTGAGCGAGCGCGCTGTGGCGGAGCTGTGGCTGCAGCACAGCTTGCAGTGCCACTGCCTCTCGGCGCAGCTGCGGCCCCTGCTGGGGGACAGGCAGTACATCCGGAAATTCTACACAGGTGGGTCTGTCTCCCCTGCCGGCATCTACTTCCTGCTTCTGCACCACAGCACTGTCCCTCTCTGGGCGCCCCCAGCCCCAGACCTCGTGTTTGTGGCTCAACACCGTGGAGACGCTGCTCAGAATCGCATCCTCAGGTCTCCTCTTCCTTGAAAAACACACTCAGACTCGTGCCCAGAGCTGCCCTGTGCGCAGACGCACGGAGCAGCCTGGACCCTGATCACCTGTCTCCTCTGTGCTAGTCGAACCAGCCCAGGCGTCCGAGGCAGAGAGCGGGGTCAGGTGCTGGGGCCACAGTCACCAGAGCCAGAGTGGACTCGGAACCTCTCCCTTGGCTGTGCGCTCCCCTGCGTGCGCTCAGCTTCCCTGGGCATCTCCTTCCCCGCGGTGGCTTGCGTGGCTTGCGTGTCGGTGCCTCTTTTTACCGCCTTTCTCCTTGCCACTTCCCCTGGGCTCCTCTCCCCCGACGCCATGCGGGAGGCTGGAGCCCTCACCGTGGCTGTTCTCTCCCCAGACAGCGCCTTCCTGCTCAGCGACGCGCACGTGACAGCCATGCTGCAGTGCCTGGAAGCCGTGGAGCAGAACAACCCCCGCTTGCTGGCCCAGATCGACGCGTCCATGGTGAGAGGAGGAGTTAGCCTGTCGGTGCTGGCGCCAGAGCCACACTCGACGTGACCCTCAGCAGCGAGTGACTTTTAGTGTTTTCTTCCGGGAGGCAGGTGTGCACTAAGAGGCTTTAAAAAATGCTTGGCGAGAAGAGGAGGCTCCGTTGTGTACTGACTGAAGTGCAAAGTCTGAGCCTCGGTCTGTTTGCTGGGGACAGGGCAGTGGGTGTTTAAACCCTTGGACCCTCAGTCTGATTTAAACCCTTGGGGCCTTTAAGGTCAGGCTTGACAGAGAGCTGGACCGGAGAGGGATGTTCTGGCCATGTGTGGTGGCGCACACCTGTAATCCCAGCACTCAGGAGCTGAGGCAGGAAGATCCTCAAGAGTTTGAGGCCAGGGGCTGGGGATTTAGCTCAGCGGCAAAAGCGCCTACCTGGCAAGCGCAAGTTCGTGAGTTCAGTTCCCAGTACCGGAGAAAAACCAAAAACCAAAAAAAAAAAAAAAAAAAAAAAGTTTGAGGCTAGCCAGGGCTACATAGCAAGGCCCTGTCTCAAAAAACCAAAAAAAAAAAAAAGAGAGAGATGGTCCTGAATCTGGAGCAGGCTTTACAGGAGTTAGACCTTGTATGGCTTAGTGGTACACAGGGCTAATCTTTTTCCTTTGGTATAAAGAAAATTTTGCAGTAAAAAGAAATTTTTGTTACTGTAATTAATACACCTCATTGCCAATACTTAGAGTAGACAGAGTCCTTACTTCTTTTAGGGCAGAATGTCCTCATCTCTCCTGGCAGTTAATTTGGATTGTCCGTTACCGTCCACTGAATATTCTGTGTGCCAGGTAGGGTGCTCTGTATGGAAAACGCATCTTGCCATTTCACCCTCACAACTCTGCAAGGTGGGCATCCATCTCTTTTTAGAAAGGAAGCCGCTGAGGCAGAGTAGGTGGGTCACTTGTCCAAAGTGGGGACCAGATAGCTTCCGAGTGACCAGGAATGGGTCAGAACCCTGCCCTGTCTGACCGCTAACTCCACGGGTGTAGGCATAAGGATGCTGTCTCCACTCTGCCCCCAGAAGGAGCCTAGTGCAGAGCCAAAGGTGCCCAGGACTCATTTTCCTAGTTGTAGCCCAGCAGAGGCCGGTGTGTTATGTCCAGGCTCGAGCTGTTGTCCGCGCTGCTGCAGGGGCCAGCTTGGTCAGCACTCCTGCAGGGCTGACCGCCTCCCCGGACCTCTGTCCTCGAGGCCCACACGTTTTATTCTCTTTTAGTTTGCCAGAAAGCACGAGAGCCCACTGCTGGTGACGAAAAGCCAGAGCCTGACTGCTTTGCCCAGTTCCACACATGCCCCACTGACCAGCTGCGCTCAGCATTCCTACTTCGGGGCCTCTTCCAGCCTGCACCAGTCCATGCCCTACAGCTCAGGTACAGGGACACGGGTGGCCGCAACATGATCTCCAGGCCTCGAAGGGACTGTGGGTGCTCATGAGCTGGTCCTCACTCTATCAGACTTCAGGTTGCAACAACAGATCCCTTAAAAAGGTATAGGGAAGCCAGGCTAAGATAGCTAATTCAGGAGAATCATTAAAGTAGCAGGAAAAGGTGTTTTTAGGTCGACTTGGGTTGCTATTCCACATTGCAAAGAAGGCATTGAAATGATAGCTAACAATTATTGAATGCCTTCAACATGCTCTATTCTGTTGTAGTCAATTCATAGGTATCATCAAGCTGATCATGGGGGCACATGCCTGTATCCCACAAGTTTGGATTGCCACAGGTTTAAGGCCAGCATGGGCTAGTGGGTTTGCATTCAAGGTCAGCCTGAACTAAAAAGTGAGACCCTGTCTCAAAAAAAAAAAA